TTTTACAGTACATCATTGCAAAATGTCATTGACCCTATGATGTTGTTTATTGTCGACATGACTCATTTATTGAGTCATATACTGGTAGTGTTAATCAGAATGAAATGAAGACTGAAGGAACAATCGACAAAGTACTGTAACATACGTCTTTTTTCTTCCTTAAATCGCATGATTTTTATTCACGAATTCAGTCAAGCTCTTTTCACTTGACACCTGGTTATTGTAAAACAGTTTTATTTTCCGCACGAGAAATGTTTGCTGTTCCATAATTTCAGCACATTTGTGATGACATCATTTTGAAATAATACCTGCAATCTTCTGTTTTAAAAAGCCAGTGAAAATATCAATGCAACCGTAATTTGTGATTTTTCTCTTTCTTACACACAAAATTCAGAAATTTGTCTTGCGAAATTAAAACGGTTAACGTTATTTTGCGAAAATGCATTTTTGAAATGATTTTTTTTGTTGTATTTGAAGACAGGGTTACTGTACATGTGCAGCCATTTTATAGTGCTAGATTTTATCCAAATTCTTGATTTTATTTTATCTACAGCATCATGTGATGCAATTGCAATCAGTATTTACTTTTAAAATATAAATTTGCAACTGACAGAATTTGACAATTCCCAGCAGTGAAAATTACCAGTTATTTTTGCTCAAATGTAATGTAATTCAAATTATTATATAGAAAAATATGATATTTTTCACTGAAAAAATATTACCCCATATAATAAATGTGTATCAGAATAAAATTACTGGTGTAAAACAAATTCAAGAATTTGTTAGAACTAGTTTAATTAGATTACACAATTTTATTTTGGTGTGACATTTTGCTCATTTTGTGTATTTTTCTGTAATTTCCCATTGGCTACTGTTCTTTGTGAAATATTTTTTGTACAAAATATTTGAAAAAAAATTAATGCTCTATTTTGTTATACATGTAGACAACAAAAATACCAAATCTTGACCTAAATCTCACTGAAGAATACCTTATTTTTGAGGCAGTTGATGACAGTTTTCACTTGATGGATCGGCTTTAGTGCCTTTATAAATAAATAATCAACCTGATTTATCACGTAATTACCTGCTCACTCCTCAATCAGCCAATCAGATTTGAGAATTATAAATTATTGACCCATCAGTTTGAAGATTCATATTATATTGCACACAATAGAGATTTCACAATATTTTGAATTCTGGTTCAATGTTTCTATAATTGATCGACTGGATCTAATGCCTTAATAAATAAGTAATCAATCTGTTTATAATTTATTACATAATTACATGCATTCAACAGAACAATCTGATTTCAGAATTGTAAATTATTGACCAATTAGATTCCAGATTGATATAATTATATTGCCCACAAAGGAAGTATATTATTACATTGTGGAAAAACAATAAGTATGTAATGTTTGAACATCTTCAGTTGAGATGATTATCCAAGTACAGTTATAGTTCTTTTTCTCCAAGCTACTCAATTCAGTGGCAAACAATTCATGTGCAATTTTCTGGAAATCGATCAATAAAATATTTTGTTTTCCTCACATTATTTGGTTAACCTAGTAAAAATAGCGGGCTGATTTATCTAGTTATTGACTTTCTCGCCAAATTAGTCTGCACTTTTTTTCTTATATTCTTCAATTTTCTGGAAATGAACCCTAATTTTGGAGCCAACAGACAAAATTTGAGTCAATTTTCAGTTTTAACTAAAAAAAATGGCTATTTTTGTCTCAATCTTCTGGAAGAAAGTGCAGACTATAAACTGGACTATTTTGTGATGAAAAGAGGGAACTGGTGGTGAAATGGTTAATAGTTTGTTTTTTTCCAACGACATTTGGTCATCATGTTGGGTAACAAATATCAGGTTTTAGTATTGCTTATTTATCAGATAGTTAAATGTGCTAAAATAAAACCCAGTGAATATTTGTTAAAAGTTAAAAATAGAATTCTTTTATTTTTGAGAATAAAATGACTGCTTCATTTTATTACACAGTAAAAATAACAATCATGTATTGTTCTCTTCAGAACCCTTACCAGTATATTTAAAACCTCGTCAATATTTCTACAACAGCAAATGCGCTAAAATAAAACCTAGTAAGTTAACCAAAGACTGTATTTTTTCTTTCAAAATCCGTTGAATTTAAAACTTAGTGATATTCCTACACACAAATGCATAAAATTAAACACAGAATGTATGTT